CCCGTGAGCGCGCGCCCCGCCCGGTCCCCGGGCCCGCCCGCTGTCGCCATGGAGACCGGCCCGGGATACGGGGCATCCCGTGGCGAAGGGGGGTCTCCGGAGGCCATGGGGGTCCCCAGGGGGCAGAGGATGATGAGGGGCAGTGGGGTGTAGGGGTGTCCCTGAGGGCAAAGGGGCTCCCAAAGGGACAAAAGGGCGAGCCGGGGGGCGTCTCCCCATAGACCGGCAGCAGCATCACCCTTGCAACATCTGAAATCTACCCTTCCATACTGTTCCCTGGCTCCATCTGGCTCCTGGAGCACCGCTCTGCTCCCCGGAGCCGCTCTCTGAGGGGTGGCACCAGGCACAGTGACACATTCCTCCGTGCTGTCAGTGCGAGCCGCAGTGCCTGAGGGGAAGGTCAGGGATGGTGCAGGGGGATGTTTCCCAGCTCTGTGGAATGAGCAGTGACTGAGTTTGTCCCTGTGCAAGAGTAAAGGCAGTGGTGCAGACCTGCAGGCAGAACCAGCTGGACACAGCGAGGGCAGAGCTCCAGGAAAGGAAAAAACAATGGAAAATAATCTGGGAAGCGAGTTGTTCACATCACTGTGAAATGAGTCTACACAGTCGCATTACCTTTGCTTTCCATCCCACTCAGTGGAAGACACTGTGTTGATCTTATAAATGTCAAACAATTCCATTTCTGAGAACGAATCCCATTTGCTCCGTGGGGATTTGCTCTTCCCGTCAGCCTGCCGGGAGGGAGAGAGCCCCGTGACACGCAGCAGGCTGTGCTCGGGGGGTCTGCTCATGGGATCATTCCTTCCCTGTGTGTCCTGTCTCTGCAGGTGCAGGCTGGTCCCCAGGTCCTCCACACCCCGGGCGCGCACCAGGCTTATTTTCCATGAAAATATCATCTTTTGGGGCAGACACTCACCCAGCAGAGCTGCAGTGGCAAGAGGGGCTGAATCTTCTGCACCGGGGTCTGGGTTTTAGCTGGAAGACAGCTATGGCTGTAGCTATGGAGGCACGAGTTGAAGAAGGAGGGAAGCCTGGAATGTGTCAGGAGGGAGGAGGCGAGCGGCTGCGTGATGGATTAGTGGAACTCATTTTTTTTAAATGTTTAAAAAAATGATAAAAAAGGGGAATTAGTTAGCCTCCGCAGCTGGTGGGGCTGGGGTTATTGAGGGTGGCTGGGAGAAGAGTTAAAAATAGCAGGAAGGCCCAAGTGGAAAGTTTCTGTAACATCACAAGTCAGGCATTTGGTGCTTACCCGCCCTGACAGGCGGGAGCCCGTGCCAGAGCCCTCTCCACCATCCTCAGTCCTTTCCCACTGACCTCCCTGCAACTTTTCACACGACATCACCAGCCCTTCGTTTTGCTTATTAACCCTTTGCTTCCAGACACCAGATTTGCTTCCAGAAAGAGCAAAATGAGTCATGAGTTGCTTGGCCTGGGAGCCTGAGGGAGCAGAGGAACACAGGGCTCGTGCTGGCCCTCCCTGTGCCCCTGCACGCCGCTGAAAGTGTGGGGAGCCCAGAGGGGCTGTAACCCCCCACGTACCCATTCCTGTCTGCATTTCAGCTTCCCCTCCTTAAAAAATCCTCCTGATCCCAGGGGCCCCAGGCGGATTTCACCAGCAGCTCTGAGCTCTGTGCTGGGACTCTCTGGATACACAGTTTGTCCTGGGCTGAGACAAGATGGATGAGATACCTCTGAGCAAGCCCAGCTCACTGTGCTTGTCCTCGCTGCGAGAAAGCAGATGTACCTGGCTGCTCCAACGGGGCTTTCTCCACTTTTGTTTGTCTTTCAGGATTGACAGTGAGAGTGGCTGAATTCATTCCTTCTCCCTCTCAGAGCTCCAGGAGTTGTGTCTGGCTCTGATGCTCCAGGAAGGCCCTTGAGCATTGAGCCTGTTGTGCAGGGGGTGGTCTGAGGGTGGTAAAGCAGGGTTTGGGCTGCAAACAATTTTGGTTTTCAGCAGAGTGGTCAGTTGCTGGGGCAGACCATGAGGGGTGAGAAAATACTGCTGGCATGGCTGGGGATCAGGCTGGACTCTGGTTCACGCTGAGCAGGAGCTGGGCACGACCCTCACTCGATTTTAAAGTGTTTCCCTGCTTTCCCAGCTGCTTGCATGGTCCTGGGTCACAGAAAGAGCATCTGGGCCCTCCCCACTGAAAGCCAGTCCAGGGCCTTGGGGGCACTGAGAGAGTGGCACAGCTAACACAAGTCAGGCTTCCCTCCACCCACCTTGTGCCCCCTGATGCTGTCATGCAGGGGACAGAACCCCTCTGAGCACAAAGTATCAGCACCAGACTCCAGCTTCTCCTCCTCCTCTTCACACTGAAACAGCCAAAGTGCAGCGGCTTGTTCTTGCTGGTGTGCCCAGTGTGGGGTCAGAGCAGTGCCGGCATAGGGTTGGTGCTGGGGCATTTTTGGGCACTGCTGCCAGTGCCATAGTGCCAGCAAAGGCCTGGATCAACCCACAGGTTCGAATAAAACCAACTCTTTCTCTCCCCAGCTCCAGGACAGACCCCGGCCTCGAGTTCCATCACCAGGTCTTGGCAATGGCACTACATGGCTGGGCTTCGGGCTGACAAAGCACATCCCCCGGGTAGGGGCTCAGCTCTCTCCTTACTTGGCGGACCTGGGCTGAGCAGGCCCCTGGGAGCACGGCCGGGCACCGGGAGGACCCTGCCCCACACAGGAACGGAGCGTGGCAGAGCCCCCGCCCCCTTTAGCACATCCCGCGGCATCCCGGTGCGACCGCTGCTCCCCGGGACCGGGGGGATACATCCCTGGGGAAGTCACCGTTCCCTGGCACCGCAAGCCCCGCGGGGACCTCGGGGACCGGACAGGGCAGCCGGGGCCGGCCGGGGCCGTGCGTGGCGGGGATTGTCGCGGCGGAGGAAGGGACCGCGCGCGGCGAGGGGGCCTCCACCCCGGCGCTTAAAGATCGGGGCGGGCGAAGCGCGGCCGTGCCCCGGAGGAAGTTTGCCCGAGTTGCCACCCAGTTCAGAGGCGGAGGCGGATCCAGGAGCGAGACCGGGAGCGGGAGTCGGTAGCGCGATCGGAAGCTACCGGGAGCCGGCTGCATTCCTCGGGGGGACACGCCCCCCGCTCACCTCCATCCCTTTCTGCCTCCGGTGCCGGTGATGAACGCTGAACCACGCAGCCCGGGAAGCAGAGCCCGCTGCGGCGGAGGGCCCAGCACCCCGCTCCCGAGGTCCGGGGGGCAACTGGCGGCCACCTCGGCGGGCGCGAGCCTGTCACCCCTAGCTCGCACACCGCCTCGAGCCGGGCGGCAGGGTCCCCCGCGGCAGCTGGTCCTCCGACTCCTCGGGCTCCTCCGGCCCCCGGGAGCCCCGGTACCGGGTCGTGCTGCTGGGTGACCCCGGCGTCGGCAAGACCAGCCTGGTCAATCTCTTCGCTGGCGTTCAGGAGAGGGAACTGCTGGAGCAGCACGGAGGTAGGTGTCTGGTGGGGGGGATTTGCTGGAGGGTCTCCCCCCGCGGGACACCCTGTGGCCCTGTGATGGGAGAAACCCGTGTGCGAGGCAGAGGGGAGCCCGGGGCCCGGCTGTCCGGACAGTGCGGCACCGACCGGGCTCTCCCGGTGTCCCCCAGAGGCCGCATACGAGCGCACGCTGACCGTGGATGGAGAGGAGACCACGCTGCTGGTGCTGGACATCTGGGAGCCGGAGCAGCGGGTACGGCGGGGCCGGGGGCTGCAGGGGGCGGGCGAGCCGGGATGTGCCCAGGGGACATTGTACAGGCACAGCCGCTGTTTTGGGGCTTTTGAGCACTGCAAAGGGCAACTTGGACCTCCCCGGCTGAGTCCAGGGCTCACCCCTGCAGAGCAGGGGCCACACGCTGGGCAAGACAGGCTGGGGTCACATCTCTGCTCAGCTCTGTGCCCAACCCTTCCTTGGCATGGGAGGCTGCCTGCTGTGTTCTCAACAGTGTGGGCACAGAGACCCCTCACATTAGGGGCAGGCATGTGGTGGGGAAGAGGGGGTTGTGAGGAAGGACTGTGGTGCCAGCCCGCTTTGAAATGCATGGAATTGGTTTGGGAATGGGGCTGAAGGAGCCAACTGGGTAAATCCACGTGAGACAGGGCCACCAGCCAGGACACATGCTTCAACGGGCAGAGTGGTGGCCCCGAGAGCCTGGCACGGGGCATTCCCCCCGCCCAGCACATGAGGTACCTCCTGGCAGAAATGCCAGCACTGCTGTCACTGCCTCTCTCCCTCCTTCCCTTCATGCCAGGGCCCAGAGCTCCTGTGAGTGCCACCAGTCCCCAGGAGCGGGGATGGAGCCAGTGCTCAAGCTGTGGACAGGGGGGTAGCACTCACATGGGCTGGGGCTGTGTTTGCCTGTAGATGCCCCAGTAGCTTAACACCCCAACAACAGCCAATTCTTTCCACTCTGATTTATTCCCACCCTGCCAAGCAGAGCCTGGTGCCTGGCTCGTATGGGGTGCAGCTCCCACAACACCGGTGTTGCGTGTCCCAGCATGGCCCCAGGAGACACAGCCTCAGCTCCCTACACCAGGCTGAGCTCACAGCCCCAGTTCATCGCTGATGGACAAGGAAACTCTCAAACACCCCCCAAAATCAGGAGCTTTTAATCCACATTTTATAATAGGATCACATGTCTGCTCCCCACACTGCAGGGGCTGGTGGGGTGTGCTGGCAGGTCCCATCAGTGCCGGGGACCTCTGCTGTCCTCCAGCAGCCCCTGCAGAGTGGTGACATCTCATTCCCCATGTGATGCCAGGGTGAGGAGAGCCGGCGCCGCAGCCGGTGCCTGCAGGTGGGGAACGCCTACGTCATTGTCTACTCCATCACCGACCGGGGCAGCTTCGAGAGCGCCTCGGAGCTGCGCATCCAGCTGCGCCGGGCACGCCAGGCCGAGGACATCCCCATCATCCTGGTGGGGAACAAGACCGACCTGGTGCGGTGCCGCGAGGTCTCCGTCGAAGGTGAGCGGGCAATGAAGGGTCTGGCTGGTGAGGATCCCCTGGCGGGAAGGGGGATGTCCATGCCCAGCTGCTTCCCCCACATCTGTGCCCTTGTCCCTGGACGTGCAGCTGCTGTCATGCCTGTGGCAGTGCCCGTCCCCCAGCGCCCGGGGTGCCAGCAGGGCCGTGCCCTCTCCCTGCCCTTCCCTTGCAGAGGGCCGGGCCTGCGCCGCCGTGTTTGACTGCAAGTTCATCGAGACGTCGGCGGCTCTGCAGCACAACGTGGACGAGCTCTTCGAGGGGGTGGTGCGGCAGATCCGCCTGCGCCGAGGGGGAAAGGAGTCCCACCCGCACCCTGCGCCCGGCCAGAAGCACAAGGAAAGCCTCAGCAGGAGAGCCCGGCACTTCCTCGACAGGCTGGTGGCCAGGAATAGCAGCAAGGGGGCCCTCAAAGTCCGCTCCAAGTCCTGCCACGACCTGTCTGTGCTCTGAGAGCCACTGTCCCGTCCCTCTGAACATGCTAGCTGGGACTCTCCTCTCTTCCAACAGCGTGGCCAGTGGCTCCATGGAGAGCCCAGACAGGACCGGAGCGATGCTGAGGACATGGAGCTGTTTTCACCAGTGCTCAGGGTTGCTGAGGTGCTGTGGATCTGGCTGCATCCCCTCCAGGAGAGGGGACAAGTGGAACTGAGTCCATGGAGCAGAGGGTGGGACAGGTACCTGCACTTGGGGTGATGGGATTTTGGATCCCAGCTGCTCCCGGGGAGCCGGAGGTGAGGGGTGGCCATGCCCCAGTGCAGGGCTGGAGGCTGCCAGGAGCAGGGTAGGTCCTGCTTGTGGTGCCCATCCTTTGCAGGGCATAGGGACTGGCGAGAGCACCACAGCAGTGTCCACCTTGGACTTCCTGGAGCCTGGCCAGGGAGAGGGGACGGGGAGCACTGGCAGCATCGCCTGGCAGCATCCCCTGCTGTGCCAGGGCTTTGTTCCATGTGTCCCTGGCACCAGTGTTTCTCAGATGGAGGGTTTTGTGCTGTCTCTGTACTGGTGTGATGGGGAAACCCTCAATCTGCAGAATAAACCGCATCAGGGAGGTGCTGGTCTCTGCTGGGTCCCTGGCCTGGGGAGCCACATCCTGGAGCCACACGGCCAGATTGAAGCCCTGTTCCTTGCCTGTGGCCAGGGCAGAGGATCTGCCTCCTGCTCTAGCCAGGCCTTGGCCAGCTCCATCTCCATCAGCTGCAATATCTTGGGGCAGGGAGAGAGCCTCTATCTGGGGCTTTCTTTGGCCACCCTTGGTGAAGGTCCCCATTCCTCACCCAGTGGTCCAGCACCATCCTCTGTGATGGCAGAATCCCCCAGCCCCCCTGCACCTCCTAGCCTCCATTCAAGCCTGGAAAAGCATCTGGGAAGGGCTGAGCTCTGCTGAGCTGCAGTTTTCAAGCACCTGAGCACTGTGGGAGCCACAGCCAGGGCAGGGACCTGGGTACTCAGTGGCTCCTGGTGCCCCGGGAAGGGGCAGGGAGCAGGAGCTGAGTGGGATGGCATGGGCAGGAAGGGACGTGCTTGGCTGCAGCGAGCAGTGAGTGACCCCGGGCACCCGGGGGGGCGAAGCTGGAGCCGTGTGGGTTCTGCCTGTTTTTAGGCTGTACTGCTGGCCAGCAGCTACCCTGCCACAGGGAAACCTGCTCAGCACTCCGGGCCCAGGGCCAGGGAGGATCAGCAGTGCCCTCCCACCCAGGTCAGGAGTTTCTGCTCGCTCTGTGGTCAGAGCGTGGGGAACCACTGCCTGTGACCGGCACAAACGGGATGCTGGAATGGGGCAGTACCCTGCCCCTGTGGGAAAACAGCTCTCCAGAGGTGCAATCCCAAGTGAGGTCTTCTCCCTGCCAGCTTTGTCCTCAGAAGCTTTTTTCCATGCTGCTTGGTGACCATGGCATTGCTGCTCATTCCTTGCTGCTGCTCTGCTCCAGCTGTTCTGCCCTGGAGCTCCCGGCACGCTGGTTCCTGGTGCTGCTGGAGGCAATGCTGTGGTTCACACGGCGTCAGCCACGCTGGGGCTGAGGGCTGCACCCCTGGGACAGGGGCTCCTTGCTGCTGCTGGTCCCTCCTGCAGCTGCAGCCAGCGTTTCCCTGAGGCAGGAGGCGGCGGGGGGGCCACGAGATGGAAAGTTGGCAGCCGGCAGAGAGGGGAGTGGAAAGAATGAGCTCAAACCCAGAAAAATGCAGCCGTGCTGGAGGGTGGGAGGAGAGGCCAAGGGGGCCACGGCGAGGGGCTGGGAAATGGAGGGAGGGTAGAAGGAGGAGGCTGTGGGAGGGGTCCAGGGACTGCCTGTGGCCCCCAGCTGGGCCCACACCTGGGGCAGGTAGTGCTGGGGATCAGTGGCACCAGCCCCTCCAGAGTCATCCCAGTGCCATCCCTCCCTGGGTGGCCATTGGCCCCAGTGCCACTCATCCCTTGGTGGCCATCCATCCTAGTGCCATCCATCCCAGTGTCATGGGTCCCTGGATGGCCATGGGCCCCAGTCCCATCTGTCACTGGGTTGCCACCTGTCCCAGTGCCATCACTCCCTGGGTGGTCATCCATCCTGGTGCCATCCATCCCAGTGCCACCCACCCCTGGCTGGCCATGGGCCCCAGTCCCATCTGTTGCTGGGTGGCCTCCTGTCCCAGTGCCATCGCTCCCTGGGTGGTTATCTATCCTGGTGCCATCCATCCCAGCATCACCCACTCCTGGGTGGCCACTTGCCTCAGTGCCATCTGTCCCTGGGTGGTCATCAGTCCCAGAGCCATGCCTCGCTGGGTGGCCATCCACCCCTGTGTCATCCAACCCAGTGCCACCCATCCCGTTGCCATCCACTCCCGTTGGGTGGCCATCAGTCCAAGTGCTGTCTGTCCCAGTGCCATCTGTCCCTGGGTGGCCATTCCCCTGGTGCCATCAGCCCTGGTGCCCGCTGCCCTGCTCACACCACTCCCCTGGGATTGGGAGCCTCGCTGGGTCCTGGCCAGGAAGTGGCCACAGAAGGGCACCAGCCCTGGACTGCCCTGGCTCTCCCTGCACAGCCACTTTGTGAGGATTCCCAAGCCAGGCTGGGGTTTAGGGGCTGGGTGGGCACCCAGAGGGGTCAGTGAGGGGGTCAGTGAGGGGGCCAGGAGCCGTGCTGTGGCAGTCCCTGCCATGCCAGGCGGGACCGCAGTAGGCAGCAGGGTGGGATACAGCGGGGTGTGTGCTGGCACGCTGCCTGCTGCTGCCTGTGCTCCTCTGTGGGACCAGCAGCGACAGGGAGAGGGCAGCATCCCAGGCAGGACGCCAGCCCCGCAGAGAGGGGCTCCCGGGAGGCCTTCCCATCTGCCCTCTGCCTGAAACACGGAACTGTGAATCACCCTCCTCCTGAAATAGATTCCTTTTATTTAAAAAAAAAAAAAGAAAGAAAACATTTTTAAAACATTAAAGATTTACATTTTAATCCTTGCTACGCTCCCATCCCCTGCCCACGGCTCAGATCTAAGCTTGGGGCAGCACCATTTCACTGTGCCCAAACCTTCACCAATTTTTGCTTCTCAGCAGACCCTCGCCCCAGCCAGGAGGAGGAGGAGGTGGAGGAGGAGGAGTCGGCTCAGTGGCACAGCTGGGCTGCCAGAGGCTTGGGAATATTTGCGAGGAAAACACACATTTCAGCCAGTTTTCCAGCAGAGCCCTGGCCCCGGTCCAGCACAAGGGGAGAATTCCCTGCCATTTATGAGGCATTTTTAACAGAGGTTCTTGCCCGTGTGACTGCTGGGGTGGGCTGGGAGAGGTCAGGGTGGAATTCCCAAGGACAGGAGGGGTGGGCCCTTGGAGAACAGTGAAGGGCAGGGAAACTCAGGGCTAGATGGAAAGGCAGCCCAGGAGGCTGATGGCATCATAGACTCATAGAATCAGCTGGGTTGGAAAAGACCTCTGAGATCATCAAGTCCAAGCCTTGATCCAACCCCGCCGTGGTTACCACACCATGGTACTGATGCCACATCCAGTCTCATTTTAAAAACCTCCATGGACGGAGAATCCACCACTTCCCTGGGCAGCCCATTCCAATGCCTGATTACCCTCTCTGTAAAGAATTTCTTCCTAATATCTAACTTTAACTTCCCCTGGCAGAGCTTAAGACCGTGCTCTCTTGTCTTACTGATCGTTGTCTGGGAGAACAGATCGACCCCCATCTGGCTTACACCCTCCTGGCAGGGAGTTGTAGAGAGTGATGGGCAGGGAGGGGCGGGCCGGGAGGCAGAGCCCCGTTGGGAGCGGGGGTGCCGGGGGAGGGGATCCGGGGGGTCTCGGGGGGGTCCCGGCGGTGCGCGGGCGCTGCCCTTCTCCTGGCAAAAGGGGAAAGGGGCGTGTCCGGCTTCAGCGCCGCTGCGTCGTGACGCACTTCCGGCCGGTAAGGGGGACGTGTCGGCGCGGACGCGGTGGGAAGCAGCCGCCATGGAGGAGCCCGCGGCGCACAACGGCAGCGCCGCCGGGGGGCCGCGCCCGGGGCCGGCGCCGCCGCCCGCCCGCCCGCCACCCCGAGGGGCATGCGCTGGCCTACGGCAGCCTCGTCCTCATGGCGCTGCTGCCCATCTTCTTCGGGGCGCTGCGCTCCGTCAGCTGCGCCAAGAGCAAGGTACCCCCTCGGCCCCCGGGGGGCGGACGGGCCTATAGGCCTCGCCCCCCTCTCCTCCCCCTTCCTCAGGGTCCCCCTCGGGCGGATCGGCAGCTGCATGTCGCTCGCCCCGGAGCCGTCGGTGGGCCTGGAGAGGCGGGGGACCCCCGGGGAGGGAGCTGGCGTGCCCCAGGGCGCGTCCTCACCGCCCTGATAAATTCAAGTGGTGCAAAACACAACCGTCCCTTGTGCCCCCGCAAGAGGAGCTGTGCTGGGGGGACTCGTGTGTGGCTTTGCCCCCCCCACACCTCGCAGCACCGGGACTGGTCCTGGGGTGCCCTCCTGCCCGCACACCCTGTGCTGTCCCTGCAGCCCCTCCTGCTGCGCTGTGCTGGACTTAAATCCCCAACCTCGGGCTCCTGCAGCTCAGGAGGAAGGACTGTTCTGCACAGTCCGTTCTGCTGGTATTTTTAAAAGCTCCTTGTGTGCCCTTAAGCCTCACATCACGGGGTTCAGCTGATTTTAGGGGAGCTCCTGGCAGCCCAGGCAGCTGGGGACTCTGAGCAGGGCCTGGCCGGGGTTTGGGGGGTTCTCATCTCATGCAGCTGAAATTTGGGCACAGCGTGACAAGCTGCACAAGGGCTTCTGCTGAGGTGCCCTCAGTCTGTGTCGGCCTCAGCTGTTTGCCTGGGCGAGATTAAATCTCTGAGCAGCTGCCAGCTGGGCTGGGAGCAGGCCCTCCACCTCCTTTGAGAGCTGAAGGTCTCATGTGGAAAATGGCTTGGAAGGGGCTGTTTCAGCTGGTGCAAAGATGTCTTGGAAGAGGCTTGTAAATCTGGGGCTTTTGAGCACAAGGAGTGTCCCGAGAGCAGGGTGAGGGCTGAGAAGGTGGCTGGAGAGACGCGTCATGCAGAGGGTGATCACAGATGGTGGCACAGATGGGGCTGGCTGGGCGTGAGCAGATAGGGAGCCCAGCTCCCCTCTGGGCAGGGGAGAAAGGAGCAAAGCCAGCACAGGGTTTTTTCCCTTCTCCAAGAAGACAAAAGCAGTGAATTGTGGTTGCCCTGGGAAGGAAAAGCGCAAGGTTTGTGTCTTCTGTCTCATGCGCTGCCCGTGGCACAGCCTCACCTCCGGGTACAGCAGGGGCCAGCGGGTGCCTTGTTCTTCTTCAGACTCCCATAGAGCCCCTCTTCTTGTGTCAGGTGTGAAGCCAGAGCAGGGGCTGATCCACTGTTGTCCTGTTCTTCTCTCCCCAGAACTCCTCGGAGATGCCGGAGACCATTACCAGCCGAGACGCTGCTCGCTTTCCCATTGTTGCCAGTTGCACCCTCCTGGGGCTCTACCTCTTCTTTAAAGTAAGTGAGTGGCACTGGAGCCAGGGCAAGCCGTGCTGCTGTGCCTGGCAGGAGCTCCCAG